GGGCAGCCGCTGCCTGGCCCGGCCGCAGGGCCCCGGGGAGCGCCGGCGTCTGCGCCGTGTTGGCCCTCGGAAAAGCTGCCCCCTGCCAGGCTTAAAACACGCAGAAAGCGGCCGCTTTTTGCGCAGCGTGCCGTGACGCTGCGGAGCTCCGTGCCCAGGGATGCTGGGGATACTGAAGGCTTACCTGTGGTCAGGGGAACGTGAAGCGCCTTTATGAAGTTGCTCTGAGGGTGACGAACTACATATAAAAACGAAAATCTGACTCGGGAAGCGTACAAGCTGTGACTAACAAAGTTGGGGAGTACTGTGGGTGGCACGTATGCTTCTCTCTTCACGTAGCCTTCCATAGGCATCTATCTACCTTTGGCTGCAGGGAGGAAAAATAGGCTGCTGGCCTAGGGAGCCTTCGGGCTTACCCATTGTAGCCAATAGTCTGTGTTTAGGTGTGCCAGGTGTTTGCTGACCGTGTAGCACAGGTATTTTAACTTATATCTAAGGTGTTTGCTTCCACAAGAAACACGGGGTTTCTATTGTAGTTACAAGCTATCTGCTAAAAGTATTTGCTTACTTTATGTGAGAAGTCATGTACTTCAGCTAGCTTTTTACAGTAAGCTCTGATATTTCTCTTGATAAGTATGTTTATCAAGTTGCAAAGCCAGCAACAAATGTTGACTACAGTAGTCAATACTCGATTTAGCTATCCATCAGAGAAGATGTATGTATTGTTTAGTATAGCTGAGCTTATTCCCAGTTAGAGCTAATGGTGTTGTGGAAGTTCAGATATCAACTTTAGAAACTGGAGTTTTTTTAATGCCCTTTTCTGAGAGGGAAAAAAAATCAGCAAAAGTTATCAGCCGCAACTTTTTTTAACAGGCTAAAAATGTTGAGGTACCAATGACTGCTAGTGTGATCTGTATCTTTTTTCTGTGGGAAAAAGTGAGACTACCTATTTTGGAGACTATAGAATGGAAATTAATAAAAAAAGAAATGGAGACAATTCTAACTGTAAGTGAAAAGGCGGAAGGGGGAAAATGCTTGCTAATAAAGGTATCTTTAGTTAGAAAATCATTTGTGTTGGGTCATTGTAGAGCTCATTTCACTTACAGTTTAGAACTGAAACTGGCTTGTGATTTCTGCATTGTGAAGAGTAGAGAAAGCTTGGTTTGGGGGGGAGGGGAGTGCTTCTTAGGTTGGATGTGACTCTTTGAAGACCAAATGTTGAGGGGGAAAGCGCAAGCAGAGGCTCATTCCAAAGTAAATGTCCCACATGAAATCAGCCATTAACTCAGTCAAGGAAGTTGCTGTATGCCTCAAGTTAATAAAACTGTTGATATGCGCTACTGTTCTTTTGCCCTGAACCCCTTTTCCTCACCCTTTTTACCTAATATGATGATGCTGTCTTCCCACCAACCCTCCACCTTCCAGGCCTCCTACTGTCGTATCTGTTACTTGGTTTTAGTTGTACAGTAACTTTTCCTGTTTACCCTCTGTTTTTTGCAGGACTCCAGTTTTTTGCTCAAGTTCTTTTTCCAGTTCTTTTATCTACTCCGTCCCTTTTCCCTGGAGAAATCTTGAGGTTTCCACTGTATCATCACTAGAGAATCCAAAGGTCCAATCCCTAGCTCAGTAAAGTGACCTGCTCAAACTCTTGTTTTTACTCCAGGCGTTGGCCCTGCACTTAAGCACTCGGCATTACTTGTCCTCTCTGATCCAGCTGTCAGATTTCCCACTTCAGAACAAAACCACATTTAACAGTTAGTTCTCTGGCTCTTGGCTCCTGCCCTGCAGAAAAACTGTCCTATGCAACCTCCTTCTCTTCTTTTGCCCTCCTCCCAGTTACTCTAGGAGCCTCAAAGTCCTTCTCCTTTGCAGTGTGGAGATCAAAGAGAGGCTGTTAAATAGCAGTTGCTGCTGGTTCTTCTGTGGTGCTTTGTCCCCTTCTTTTGAATCAGTGCCGTGACAGCCTGTCAGTCAGCATAACTTTCTGTACTTCTATATCATAGTGCAAGTCTCTGTGTGATGTGATCCACATAAATCAACTTGCCAACAAAAACTTCTAGTCTGCTGCTATGAACCAGCTACTTTTCACTCGAGTACAGATGGTTCTGCCTCTGGATGAATGCTGTGTCATAATAGCGCATGTGGTTTTAACTTGAATTTCTTGTCACGTAGTAACCCTTTTTCCTTGTAGGTATCCTCTTACGAATTATACGTTCGGTACAAAGGAACCCCTCTATGAGAAGGACAGCTCAGTGGCAGCTCGGTTTCAACGCATGAGGGAAGAATTTGACAAGATTGGCATGAGGCGGACAGTGGAAGGGGTTCTGATTGTGCACGAGCACAGGCTGCCCCATGTGTTGTTACTGCAGCTGGGTACAACTTTTTTCAAGCTGTAAGTATCTACTCCTTGACCAACTTTTTAGTGCGACTTTAAAGTCGCAAAGCACTAAGTGGGTAGATTAGAGGTTAAAGTGTGACTAGCTCTGTCAGAGGTTTTGAATGTTTGATTCACTTGTTACAAAGCCTAAAAATATTTTGAATGGTGAGGTTTTCTCGTAAAAAGTATTTTTGTCTGTGCTCACGTAGCTTTGAACCAACTGGGAGTCTTATGCTGTGTCACAATAGAGGGTTCCTATTTAAAACTCGTTATCAGAACTTTGTGCTTTATCCCTGCATTGCGAAAGCTGTGTTATGTTTAAATATACTTATGCTGTGGGCAGAAAAATAGCAAGGTGAAGCTTAAGGCAGGAAGCTGGGGTAAACGCAAAATGATAGCTGTTTGCAAACTACCAAGTGAGCTGGGTACAATTAGGAAGGTCTAATACTTGTCACTGCAGGAATGAAACTTTCGGGGTTGGATCGTATGTTTGTAGTGATGAAGTTGGTGCTTGATTTTGTTTTAGTTTTAACTGTATGGGCTTGACTTGTCTCAGGTTATCCTGCTTGTGTTCTGTCTTATATTTTTAGCACGTTGTTTGTTCTTTAGTGTGTGCTGGTGGGGAATCTGTATCCGCTTTCTTTTTTTGACATCTTATTTGGAGGGTGAGGGAGGGGACAAAAATAGACTAGAGTCTGAAAGTTTTTTTGAAAATAGGTATTGAAGAGTCCTCCTAGGTTTTTTGCATTAACCTTACATTAAATGGTTCTCCAGAAGAGTTTTATTTTCTGCTTCAATGCGTGTTATTCTTGAGATTAGGCCAAATGCAGTCAATATCTACAACCTTTTCTTCAACTCTGTTCTGGTGCTTTTCTGTCATTGTTAAAACTTCACCTCTTAAGCATCTCAGTTATTACCATGTATATAGCACTTTTAGTTCCTTTTCTAGAAGGACATGCAGTAGTTATTTCAGTCACAGTTTTGGTAAAAGCAGTGTTACTCTGTCTTCAAGCTTGGAAAAATAAGATTTGGAACTTAAGGCTGAAGGGCCCTGAATGAATTTGTAATTCCCTACCTGGAAGAACATCCAAACATACCTGTGAATGTCTATAAATATAATAAAGCATAACTTTAGCTTTCATCATTGGTTATCAGCAATAATATGGCTGATTATTTTAACAGACCTGGTGGTGAACTCAATCCAGGGGAAGATGAGGTAGAAGGGCTCAAACGCTTAATGACAGAGGTCAGTTTTCTTTCCTTATGTTGGCTATACTGGAATGTTATGGAATGCTGAATTATTCTAGAGTTAACAAGCCAAAGCGTTGCAGTAATTGTCTTACCGTTTCTATCAGTTTTACTCTTTTGTGATTGTTCGTAAAGGTACTTACTGGTGCTGTCACTGAAACATTGCACTTCATTCTTCCTATTGGACTTAGGGCACTCAGTTCAACTGAATATAACACAAAATTTGAAATGCTTTCTAAAATGTCCTTGTCCTGTGTCACTTTATACAGAAGTAATCTTCTGACATTCTAATAAAAGCTGTTCCAGCCTGGCTCTGAACTGCATCAGACCCTTATTACAGCATCTCTTTGTGCTTCCGCTGTGTGTTTTCTAAGAAAATGGCATGGGTTGTTTAGAGTTTTGACTGTACCTGGGTTTTTGATAGATACTGGGGCGCCAAGATGGTGTTCAGCAAGACTGGGTAATTGATGACTGCATTGGTAACTGGTGGAGACCAAACTTTGAACCTCCACAGGTGAGTACCTGGGTCTGCACTTATGTTCTTTAGAGGCAAATACTGACTGTTCTTACAGAAGCCTCAACTTGCCAGTTGTGAGCGCATACCTGCTGCATGAGCAGTTGGTCCTGCTGGGTTTCACCTGTCTCCTCCTTTCCTCTGGCTGAGGAGGAAGGATCCAACCTACAAACTTTTTCTTTGGGAAACCGTTTTTCCCTCCTTGTGCGCCTCCCAATAGATAAGTAACCACTGGATGCGGTGGTTTCTGGTCCTGTGCTGAGCTGGACACACCATCTAAACTCCTGTTTGATCCATGATGGAAACTCATGCACTGGTACATCTGAAACAGATGCCGTGTAAACAAAATAATCTCATTGCCTTATTTCTAAATGCTTTAATATTGAAAATACTTGCTCAGTTTGCTGCCATGTGTTTCTGTCTTGTTGGGTTGTTTTAACGGGTTACGAGTACTGGCATCTCTTTTTAGATCCTGTAAACGGTCATGAGGCCAACCAGCGTTCTTTTCTGCATACATCCTTATAAAAGTATTTTTCATTGTCTCATACCATGAAAGAAGAATATATAATAAACTGCTGGAATAGAGCAGCACTTAAGAGCGCACAATATTTTCAAAGATATGTACAAGTAAATTTGTTTTTTCTTTCAGTATCCCTATATCCCAGCTCATATTACAAAACCAAAAGAGCACAAAAAGCTTTTCTTGGTCCAGCTTCAAGAAAAGGGTAAGTGTTTGCAACAGGGAGTTGCATTTATAAAACTCTATAAATACTTTCATTTCATGCAAGGAAATGTGGTACCAAGATTCAGTAAAACTCGCTTGCAGTTTTTAATGACCAAGCATATAACTGTGAAGAAGCCTTAAAAAACGTAAGTGCTGGGGTCAATTATGAAGGTACATGAGCTTTTCTGAACATGAGTTTCTAGTATATTCCCATTACTGCTCCTATGTCAGTACGTGTACAGCACATGAGCCCCATGTCCAACTATAAATGAAATAAAGCCATTCTAGTACTATAGTGCTATATGCGGTGATCTTGTGTTTGGCTGGGAGTGGGGAGCAACATCTTGGCTGAATGCTTGGTGTTCTTTCATTTAATATTAATTAACTTGTACTTGTTCTTAGCTTTGTTTGCAGTCCCCAAAAATTATAAGCTAGTAGCCGCGCCGTTGTTTGAGCTCTATGACAACGCACCAGGATATGGACCCATAATTTCCAGCCTTCCTCAACTTCTGAGCAGGTATATTATACCTTGTATTACAGTTCCTGAGAGCTGTGACACCATAGCAAAGTGGGGCAATACAGAAACAAAATGATTGTCGCTGCCCTGAAGAGCTTGGACATGATGGATTTATAAAAATGTGAGGTGGGAAAGCTGTGGGACATGAGGAATAGGTAGATGGTGTTGACAGTTTAGAGACAGTGATTTCAACTTACTAGCACCAGAGTCTTACCTGGTAGTTTAATGAAAGGAAAATCTGAAAGATAGTGAAGACGAAGCTCTGCATGTACTAAGGAACTTTTTGAGTATTGCAGATAGTGTGAGAATAAAAACAGACTCATGTTTGAAGCATTGAGTTAGGCATTCATGTTATCACTGCTTTCTGTGGTGATTAAATGTGTTTTTGTTTTTTGTTTTTTTTCCCCTCCAGACTCTATGTAGTTAAAGTGCACTTATAACACAGATACCTGTAGGGACAGCTGTATTCTTTCCTCCCTTTTCCTAGCAAGCGCATTCTTTCCACTTATTTGAAAACGGCTTGTACCTCAGGTGTCCAGAGCTAACTAGTCTTACGAATTTCTGTTACTTCAGCAAATGTTCAGGAGTTCCAGACGTGCTACAGCCTGTCAGTTGTTACTCAGGGGAAGGAGTTACGTCATCCATCTATTCTCTATTAGCAGAATGTTGGAATTGATATCACCTATAATAAGTTTGCATGCTGTGTATATTTGTCCTCTGTCTATACTCAATTTTGGCAACAACTGCTATAGAAGCTTTTGCCCCGGCTCCATGTAAAGACAGCAGAAGCTTTCTCAAGAGTACTAGCAAAACGCTGGCCATTACTCATCCTAATGCCAATTTGGTACCTCTGCAACAGACATTGAAAGGAAGGACATCTGCAAGTTGAGATGGATGCTTATTTTCACAGTATAGCTTATCAGGAATATTTGTACAGTGCTCTTCTGTCTGCTGTGAAATTTAGTTTACAAGAATGACTCTTCTGTTGAGTATGTCCATCTGTTACTCCTGGAGTGTATCGGGATGGCGCTGGTCATAGAAATGCTGCGAAAGAGTTGTGTACAGGGTGCAAAACTTGCACTGGTATTTTCGTATCTGTGAAGCTTGCTAAAAGGTGCAGGAAGAACTAAGTATGTCCTCTCCTAAGAGGCTGATGTACGATGCTAGCCTAGCATCTGTTGTTACAGATAATGCTTCCTGGTTATACCAAAGCTGTCCTATTAAAAGGTTTTTTTTTCCCCCCCCCTCTGTCAGAAGGAGGCTTATTAAGAACAGAAACAAAACATTTGCTTATTAATTCAAAAGTGTTCCTTAAATGAAAGGAATTAAGTCTCTCACTTGGTATAATCCTTTTAATTTTAGGTTCAACTTTATTTACAACTGAATTCCCATATACCTGAGGAGTGTGATAGAAGAAGCCGTCTCTGTGAGCACAGCTTTAAAAATGTAGAGAAAAGAATACGTGTGACGCAAGGATTTTTTTATGTCGTTCTTTTCCTGAAGGCCACTAAACTTTCTATTGTATGAATAGAGAAGTGAATCTCAACTGTTTAGATAGTGGGATGGCAGTGTGATATCAGTGTTTTAATCACTTTTCATTGTAATACTCACCAAATTTTTTTTGTACAACATTAAACAAAATGGATCAGATTCTGTTTGTCCTTTTTACTTGTCTCCCCCTTTTAAGAACATATTTTAGACTTTATTACTTTCCTTCAGGAAATCAGGAGATCTTGGGGAAACAGGAGGACCTAACCTGTTCTTGGGAGCACTGAGATGCTCTCTGACCCGCATCCTTGAGTAGAGAATTAGTCTGACAGGGAGTCTGAAAAGTATAAGTCTGTGCAATATCATGTTGAGTGTCTTTGCTAAAAGTTAGAGGACCTGAATTGCTGTTTTGAGAGAGTATGAATACTTAAAGGCAGGTGTGGCTGTTGTTCAAAGCTCATCAGCACTGATCTGGAACTTCCCTGTTTGTACAGGGCTTGAATGAAATAACGTGCAACTTCCCCTTCCCCTGAAGGAGGAAGGGAAAAAAACCCTCCAGTACCTTCTGTTCGACTGCTCTGACATTTGGATAAAATCTGAGAGTAAAATTAACTTTCTAATTTTTCTGAGGAGAAAGCTCTAGGACTGAACTTTTGGGGAGTATGCAGGGGTCCCCATATGCTACTGTCCTTCTGCAGCACACACGTGTATTGTGCCCTCTTGCAAGGGATTACGCTACTTGGGCTTGCTCTCGTCCTCCTGTCGCAGGTAATAAGTAGGGCTAGGCGTCGCTTCCGCAGGCCTGTAGCCTCCAGCCTTTTGCAAAACGACTGGCAAGGACTTAAGTTTCCCGTTCCGCCCGGCTGCCCGGGAGAGGCGCCGCCGGGCACCGGGGCAGAGTA